TTTATTTAAAGCACGAAAATCACACTTACTTTAGTATAATAATTTAGTAATGCAAATTTTTAGGAAAAACAAAAAATCTAATCTATTGTTATTTTGGCGTAAAAATAACAAACGAAATAAAACAATAATATACTAATTTAATTATAATTAATAATAAAATAATAATTATTAATAATAATTATTTAATTTATTTATATAATTTCGTTTAACGCCAAAATAACAATAGATTAGATTTTTTGTTAAATAATTAAAAGATTACATTCTGCTTGCATGACATTATTAAATGTACAATTTATTTATGGGAAATCGCTGGTACCTGCCATATAGTTTATACTAGTGCAGATACCAACGCTCCAAAAATAAATATATATATATATAATGTACAACAACATGAAATGAAATGAATAAATTATTATTATTATTTTGATCTACAGCTATTTACCAATGATTACTCATCATCACCATCATCAGCCTATTAACGTCCCCACTGCTGGGGCACAGGGGAAGGCCTGAGGATGGAATGGGGAGATTTGGGCCATAACCCCCCACGCGGGCCCAGTGCGGATTGGTGGGTGCTAACGACTGCAGATGCAGCCGGGACCAACGGCTTAACGAGATAGAAGCTTTTTGGTCACCCATCCAATGACCGACCACTGCGAAAGTTGCTTTTCTTCAACGATTACTCAAAACTACATTATTAAGACACTTATTTCATCATCATCATCATCATCATCATCAGCTTATTAATATCTCTACTGCTGGGGCACAGGCTTTCCCTATGGATGGAATAGGGAGATTGGGCCATGACCTACCACGTGGGCCCAGTGCGGATTGGCGGGTGCTTACGACTGCAGATGCAGCCGGGACCAATGGCTTAATGCCTTCCGAAGCACGGAGGAACTCGAGTTAGAAGATTTTTGGTCAACCATACAATGACCGACCACTGAAAGATGTTTAACTTCAACGATCGCAGCCGAACGCACTAACCACCTACACCATCGAGATTCTTTAACTCAAAACTCAACTCAAACTCATTTATACAGTCCAGGCTGTTACAAGCTCTTGTGAAAGTCAAACGCTACGCCATTCGGTTCGTAAATATACGGCGGGAGACTTTGTACTGAGATGAACCGGCAAGAAACTCAGCAAGGGCTATTTTTTTTTCTTCCTATTTTGTTTCATACAGAGTCGTCAATTGAAAGATGACATCAAAAATTGAAAACATGTGTTGATTTCAACTTTCATCACATTAATATTATTACATAATAAAAGTTAAGTATAATAAGGTACTATTTTTAACTTTATGAATGAAACGAACTTCTTAACAATCCATGGATTCACCGTGAGGGTGCCGGGTCCATCGTGTAGCTGAGAGAGAGACTCTGAGCAGTTCCCGAGACTTGCAAGCCAGGTGTAGGTTCAAGGAGGCGCCCTTTGAGATGCGTATCAACGCTCACCTTCACTGCTCGAGCTGCCCGCCCTTCCAAGCCAAATTTGATAGAAGCCTGTTAGTGTAGCCTTACTTAATACAGTTCTGGACAAGCCTAGGTCTTTTAGAAGGTTAAAGAGAGATTTGCTGGCTAAAAATAGCTATCTAGTTAATTTATATGCGGCAGAACTAGGAGCGAGAGGTATATCTGATAACAAAGAAAATGTGAAGACTGTGTAGCTGTATGTAACCGTTTGCCTGTACAGCCTGTACGACTGATGATGATAGACAGACGGACATGCGAGTAACAACAACAGGGCTCCGTTGGAAACGTACGGAAAAAAACGATGTTGAGAACTGTGGTTGAGAACTTCCGCCGTGTCTATAAGGGTAGAAATTTTGTACTTATAAATAATATTATACAAAGTATTGATAAAAAAATCTACTCTAAATATTAACTTCTTATAATAATAAATGAAGGCTGGCACTTTGATTTGTATTCCTTCTGCGATTATGATTATGGCAAGGTGGCAAGGATATTAATAAGATGCTATCTACATCAAAACATATCTTTCTTACTTTACAGCAAGGAATTTACATATTTAGTAATTCGAGGCATCTATATAAATTCATTGATATTATTTCATATTTTTATTGATATTAATTATTGAAACTATAATTTTTAATAACTGCGACATCTTAGGTGGAGTAGCTGAACTACATGTTTTTATATGCGAACGCCATCTAGTGGTGAGTAGCGATACTACTACATCGAATAATTCTTGCAGCATGCTAATATCAGACTACCACATGCTTTTTGGAAACTTGTATAGATGGCGCTGCAAAGGAATAATATGTAAATTTCCAAAGCACTATGACCACACCGCTCGCAGGGATCTAAGAGAAAATAATACTAGGCCGGGACACAGGCCTTCCTTAAAAGGATACAATAGGGCGATTGGGCCTTGACCCACCACGCGACCCAGTGTAGATTGGTCGATCCTACTCTGATCCATACTAAATTATTAATACGAAAGTGTGTCTGTCTGTATGTTCGTTGCCTCTTCACACTTAAACCGCTCGCGCTGCACCGATTTAGATGAAAGTCCCGGGAAAAGACATGGGATCTTCTTTATCCCAGAAATCAATTTTTAAAAGCGGTGTAATATTGTATGTAAAATCCATATTTCCCGTCATATTTTTTTGGTGTGAGCTCTGTTACAATAAAACTCTCTTTTTGCATAAACATAGTATATATTTTAAATATTTATATTTCTTACAATCTAAAGCTTAACATTAGCGGTTCGTCCACAATCTTTGCCTCGTGCCGTAGTCGCCCTCATCATATCAATACATAATTGCACATTTTCAAAATCTTACAACAACACTTGGAATTTACAATAATAATATATAAATTCGAGAAATATCATAACTTCAAATACGTCTAAGTACTTATCTCACTGAAGGAATGTATGTCTTTTTTATCTAATTTTCTGATCATTATAAAATAGATTTTTTAAGCTCCGAAGTCATACTTTCATGGCCTGCGCGTACGAGGGTCTTCCCCGAAACTTGTCCCGGGACTAGGGTTACCATCCGTCCGGATTATTCCGGACTTTAGACTATAGTCCAAACTTTGTCCGGTTTTGTAAATGGTCCGGATTTTTAGAGTTTACTCCTTCAGAATCGATTTGCATATATAAGGGGCCCGGTATGAGAAAAATGTGAGGAGTAAAATCTACTGAACAAATGACCTCGTTACGTTTTTGTGACGAAACTAAAAATAGATAAAATCGGAGCAAAATTAATGAAAACAAATAGATAACAGAATATAGAGAAATGCCGGTAAGTGTCCAGCACTCTGGAATAGTGATTTTCAGTACAGATGGAATTATAATACATATTTACAAAATGATGACCAGTGTGTGATATTTTTGAAATTGTGTGTTTCCAGAAATACATAATAAAATATATGATGAATATCGATCATGTTAGATGATAAAATGTGTGACATGGAACCTATGATAGTCGAAACCATGGGACGATTCCTGAGGTATCTCTACTTGTACCCGACTTCTCCGGACTTGATTTTGTTTTGTGTCTGTTCAAAGACAATCGTTTTTAGAGTGTAAACTCCGGTCGTGCGTCGGAGCTGACACACACATTTTTTTTTTAAATTACATTGAATATGAATAATAAAAGCACATATTGATTTAAATACCATCATTGTAACTAAGTGAGTACTGGTACCGTTTTGTGACTAAAAAGTCCGGACTTTTTTCGAAAGGACAGGATTTTTGTCATGACTTTTGAAATTTCTAAATGGTAACCCAACGCGGGACTCAACGCACACAGTAGGGGACATTTGTCAACCAAAATTTTTGAGAAATGGCTCGCTAAAATGGAAGTAAATATTCTTAGATTACGTTGTGTTGTAATTAACATGAAGTTTAAGAAGAAGAGCAGGAGTTCTACTCTCTTTCTCCGAAACGAAATTTCGGCAACGAACGTATTTTAAACGAAATTTCGCCAGTGACTACTCTATTTCATCTTCGAATAAATTTATTTATTTATTAATAAATTCGGAATCACAGTCAATTATCGTTAACGAATGGAATGAGTTATGTTTGGGAGTTCTTTTTGTCTACACTTTTAGATAAAGTTTTTTACTTCAAAACAATATTACTGTATGACAACATTTTTGATTACATTAAAACAACCTCTTATAACAGTGTTAGCCGACTAATTTGTAGAGTTGATGCAATCGAATGTATGTCAACCTAAATTTGTCGTGTAACACTTACAAGTATTGGCATAAACAAAAATTAGACTTATTTGTAAATTTTTCATACTAAAAAATTTCCCTCACGCTAAGCAGCCTTAATTAAAAATACTCTACTAGTCATTTTGATTTAATTGAAACACAAATCCCAAAACGAAAACGAAAAGGTAACACTTTTCATTTCGTCAATTTGAGGTTAAAATTTCGAACAATTATCTGTCAAATTCAACTTTTAGTTCAAAAGTTTTGTTCAAAAATTAGAGTAGGCTTAGAGAATTTAAATGTCAAACTATTTTCGGACGAACGAATTTGCGAAATGAAATAGAAACAGAGTAAGGAACTTGCGAAATTTCGTTTTTCGTTGAAATAGAGTAGGCCCCCAGACGTTTTAAAAGAAAATACATGCAGAGTCCATGCCTTTAAATCGGATAGAGCAAGCAATGCAACTTTCTGTAAATACGAGGTACTTTCAATCCCTCGTCTGCGTTACTCAATGCACTACCCCTAGCACGAACCAATATCGAATTCGAATAGTTTGCGAGTGCGAAACGTCAATGTCATATGTGTAGGTACTGAATTTTACTTAGCGTTACGTACGTTATGGCACTGCTGTTTGAGTTTCCATACATGACATTGACATTTCCAACTCGCAAACTATTCGAATTCGATATTGGCAGGATCCCGCACAGTCTATAATCACCCTTTTAACCTCTTACTGTGTTCTGTGGAACTAGGCTTACACCGATAATGATGAATTTCGGAATAGAGATAAAGAGATATTCTGAGGAGAGTTTAAGCTGATTTTTCCTGCTTGAATCAAATTTAAAAGGCTTCATTAGATGAGTTAATAGTTTGTACAGGTACAGGAAAAGGATTTTCTCTATACACATGAAACCAATACAATATCAGAATCTGTGGCTAACTTCACTACCCTACGATTGCAGCGCCATTTTGTTGTGTGCCTTCTTCCTCTTCCTCTTCTTCTTGCTGTTTCTGACTTCGCTATACTCAAGTTCTACGTTCGCACCGCTCAAGTCCTGATAACCATCAGATCTTTTACCCTCGTAATCTGGCAAAGTTATACCGTCTGTCTGTTGGTAGTTTTCCGAAAAGGTTTCCGAGAACTTAGCGCTTAAGGTTTCCGAGCCGAAGAACCTGGGTTTTTGCAGGTTTTGGTATTTCTCGTTTTGTTGAGGGTAGATTGAGTTTATAATGTTGGTTGCTATGGCGACCGGCGTTGATGGGTACGTCGACGCGCCCTGTTGTATAGGTCAGAACTTCAGATCCTGTTGGAAACGGAATAAGTAATAAATAAATAAATAATAATAATAAATATTTCCAACACTCACACCAATTAGCCTAGCCCCAAAGTAAGCACTGTAAGGCTTGTGTTAAGGGATGCTAGAGTAACGGATAGAATACATATACTGTACATAGTATATTTATATAGAAATACATATTTAAACATCCATGACTGGAGTACATCAACATCTGCCCCCACCAGGATTCGAACCCGGGACCTCTCGAGACGGCGACACCATGAAACCCGGCGTACAAACCACTCGGCCACGGAGGTCGTCAAGTATAGTTATGGTCAAATAAATACATATATAAAATAAAAAATTGGTATGCTCGGACCACACATCTAAATTGAAACTCCTTTTTTTATAAATAACCTTACATAAGACGGTGCATAAGGCATAGGGGAATGGTGCAGCGCACGCATAATTCATATAATATATATATACTAGTATATATATATACTAGCTGATCCAGCGAACTTCGTACCAAAATAAAAAAAAAAATTAAAAAAACATTGTCCAGCGGACAAAATTGTGAATCTAAACCATTCTCAGATCCCCTTGAACACACACAAAAAATTTCATCAAAATCGGTCCAGTCGTTTAAGAGAAGTTCAGTGACATACACACTCACAGAAGAATTATATATATAAAGATACTAGCCGCCGCGACTTCGTACGCGTGGAGTTAGTTATTTGCACATACCTTTTGATCCCAAAAGGGAGTTTATTTCTAAAGATACATTATTAGTACACCTCTACACCATCTACAGAGCATACATGTTAAATTTCAAGTCTCTTACTTCAAAAACATAGGACTCTTATACAAACTTCCAACCCCCGTATTACCCCCTTAGGGGTGCAGTTTTGTGATAATATGTAGCCTATATGTTGACCCGACTTCTTAATAATATTCGTGCCAAATTTGAACTAAATCCATGCAGTACTTTATGAGTTTATCCCGGACATACATACAGACAAACACACAAAAATTTTAAAAACTATATTTTCAGCTTCGGTACCGATTGTAGCTCACACCCCAAGTATTATTTTAAAAAAATATTCAATGTACAGTTTTGACTTTCCTACCATTTTATTATATGTATAGATTCTATTTATTCTCATCAGCTAAAAAATGTCCTGGTAGGAAATAATATTAGACGAATAAAGTGTAATTTTTAATTTTCAACACGTTTGCTCAAAAATGCATTCACAGAGGTTGTATATACATTGTTCGAAAGTTCAAAACTGCGGTCTATACAACGGAGCGTGCGGTAAAACGTATTACCGCACGCTCGCCCATACAAGGCGCCGTGCGTATCCTGTACGGTTCTTTTTTAATTTCGGTCGAACCTTGGAAGCGCTTTATATTGCTTTTAATCTATACCTTTGTCTCACTTTAATACGTGATGTAGTTCTTATTTTCACCACCCGCAAGTGGCGCCATTTTGGAAATGCGCGCCATTTTGTTATAAACAGTTTTTTGCATTACATAAATTAGGTATAAGTACTGTTGTCACACACATAGCTATTGGAAGGTGGGACCAGGATTGGCATTCTTCTTTAGTATTAAAAGCCCTTTCACATTTTTTGCAAAAAATCGTATTTTTCGAGCTCCTCGTTTCATCATCATCATCATCATCATCATCATCATCATCATCATCAGCCTCTTTATATCCCCACTGCTGGGGCACAGGCCTCCCCTATGGATGGAATAAGGAGATTGGGTCATGACCCACCACGCGGGCCCAGTGCGGATTGGCGGCTTCTAACGATTGCAGATGCAGCCGGGACCAACGGCTTAACGTGCCTTCCGAAGCACGCAGGAACTCGAGATAGAAATTTTTGGTCACCCATCCAATGACCGACCACTGCAAAAGTTGCTTAACTACAACGATCGCAGCCGAACGCACTAACCACCTGCGCCATCGAGCTCCGCCTCGTTTACCCCCTTAGAAAAGATTTTGACTATTTCCAATAGAAGTAAACAGTAAATTTATTCTTCCTATTGTAAGTTAATGTAGAATATTTGCAAATACTATTTTCCTTTTTTTTGTACTGATCGTTCTACCGCAGCTAGTTTACGGAAAAAACGATAATATGCACAACTTCAAACGCCTGAATCTCTAAATAATGTTCAATAAATTCGATCAAATTAATTACTATGACAACAACAGAAATATGTTTTTGTTGTAACATAATGTATTAGAATTTTGATTTTCCATCTCATTAATTATCAAAAAAAAACATCTAACCTCCGTGAGTTTTCCCAAAAAATAATCAAAAACTTTCATAAAACTAATCTACCATCATTGAACTACTGAAATATGTATATATTTTTATAATTAGTTCATTAATAATTGTTTTATAAGACTCGAAACATCACCCGTAAAATGCAATATATACTAGTGCAAATCTACCTACGCGCCGATCAGTACGGCAGCGGCGCAAATTTGTAAAAGGGCTCTTAAGTAAGCTGTCCCTTTGTTCAGTACAAACACAAATCTACATTTTATCGCTGAAATTCAACTTACAAGATTAAAATCTTACCTTGATGGCTTGCGGTAGATCGGGTAACTTCATATCTCTCAACTGTTGGGATATGTTCATACTTTTGACGGCGGAGACTGCTCGAGCCGGCGCAGCAGAAATACCAGCCTGTGACAAACAGACAAACATTCGTATTACCTTAAAAACTCGTTCAATATTATCACCCTAAATAGAGACGCCATTTAAAGTTTTATTTTATTTATTATTTTGGAGGACGACCAACTAAAGGTACCAAGATACCAGCTTCTATGAATAATATAGGTGCTAGAATAATTAAAAATATGCATACTGCATACATTACAAAACAAGGCATTGAACATTTATTTTATGTAATGTTAGAAATCAAAAATACAAATAAATAATTTAAAAATAAACAATCTTGAATGTCTGAAAGTAATTTATGGCAATTTACTATTTTATTATAAAAATAACAATAATAATATTAATTACAAATTTCATAATAATGTTTTGAGAAAAATACAATTATTACAAATGTGGAAATAAAAAATTATAAGATTTAACATTTAATAAGTTTAATCTTTATCACTTCATCAATACTACCAAGCACATCTATTCTCTCTCTCTTTCTCTGTCTATCTTTCATTCGTTCTAATCAATTCACAACCGCCTCACCTCATTCTCTCTCTATCTCTTGATGACTGCTACTCTCTTTCACTCTTTTCCTACCTATCTCACCTTTTCCCTCCGTATAACTATTCCGCCTCCTTCTCACTTTGATCCCTACTTTCTCCTTTTCTCTACTTACCTCAGCTTTCTGCATTTTATATTGCTCCTGCAATCTAAACAATATGCCGGTCATATTGATCTGTAGCACCATCCCTCCCATCTCCAACTCATCCAAAACCTGATGGGCGGCGTCACTCTCTCTGACACTCTCACTCCCTCTCCCATAAGCTCATTATCCCCCTTTAACTCATTTCTGCTCCCTTCGTTCTCTATATCGTCTCGCTCTCTTTTTCGCTCCTTCTCCTTTTTCTCTGTCTCAATCTCGTCCGTTCCCTCTCCTACTCCCTCTCTCTTTTTCCTTGTTCTGTAACTCCCATCTGTCTCTGTCATCTTGCTAAACTTACCTCAGCTTTCTGCATCTTGTTCTGCTCCTGTAATGTACACAGTAAGCAATATTTGTCTGCAGCACCATCCCACCCATCACCAACTCATTCAAAACCTGATGGGCGGCGTAACTCTCTCTCTCTCTTTCTCTCTCTCTCTCTCTCTGAAACTATCTTTATCTCTCTCTCTCTGAAACTATCTTTATCTCTCTCTCTCTGTGACACTCGTATCTTCTTCTCTCGCAAGCTCATTATCCCCCTTTAACTCTTTTCTCCTCCTTTCGTTCTCTATCTCGTTATGACTCTGTATATTCTCTCCACTTACCTCAGCTTTCTGCATCTTGTTCTGCTCCTGTAATCTACACAGTATGTCGGCCATGTTCGTCTGCAGCACCATCCCACCCATCACGAGCTCATCTAAGACCTGGTGGGCTGCATCAGCGTGGAATATGAGGTCCAACTCGCAGACGTTCTCGAAGCATTTATCGAGAGTTTCTACGAATACCTGGGAAATAAGAATTTTATTTTAAAAAGGCGGTTGCAGTCAACGAATTAGAATTGAAATGGAAACATTGTGGTACAATTACATTTGGCCGTTAGCCCGGTTATTCGGGTGCCCGAAAGACATTACTCAAACCCGAAGCAATATTTACTCTGGTATACGGGCTGGAAGACTGTGTCATGTAACCAAAACAAAAGCTACCCGAAAAAGGGCGTACTCGACTCCGTTCATTTACACTTAAACGTTTACTCGAATTCCATCGGCACTCGTATTCGGGCTAACGGCCAAGTGTAATCGCGCCATTACTCTTCAACAAATGCCGCCCAAACATGTTTCTAAATACATACAACTAAACTTCAAAACTATACAAAATTTATTCAGTGTTTGTTTTTCATCTTTTTTGTCTTTTTGTTATGTTTTGTCCAATCTTAATTTTATTTTATTATTTATATTAGTGAACTAAGTATATGACTTATATAAAATTTTTAAAATTAAATGAAATGTAATAATTACTGACATATAATAACGCCGTTAATATCTAATGTGTACATAAGTTTCTGTAATTGGCCTTAAGATTATATCTATATTTTATTGTATTAACTTTCACAAAAAACCGCTGTAGAAACTTTGTTAAAGATAAATAAATAAAATACTTCGACAAATCAAATATCTGCAAATGAATTCGACGATCCATTCATTGGGTAAAATAATGTTAAACGAAAATGGGTGCGTGTACTTATGTAGGCGCGTGAGAAGTTATCCTTCTTTCGCATTGTTTAAAATTAGTTTTTAATTGCATGCAAATAATTAATTACAATAAATTAATAAAAAGTCTGGAAAAGGGCACAGTCAATAAAGTTCAGTTTTAATTTGAAAAAATAAATAAATAATCAAAATATTCAATTAAAATCGCTACTGAATTTAATTTATTAGAACATATGTGATTTGCACTTGTATGAAACTCAAACACGTATTCCGAATATACAAACTAGAAACATGTGGATAAATATTATAAATATGAATACCTATAACTGTTACTTTATTAGAAAAAACAAAGATGTGGTTTTTGGTTCTACTACACCAATGGTCAAGAGATGGCGCTGTAGCCTCCTGAATCGCGCTTTGGTTCCGTTGTTCCTGATTAATAAATACTTTTGATAGGCCTTCATAATGCAGTCGTTAGCACCCACTAAACAGAGACTCCGTTTCTATTCCGTTGGTAGATTTTCTCAATGTGCGGTAAACACAAAAGAAACAGCATGAAGTTCATGCTGTTAAAATTTTGTGTTACAGTGATGCGCGCGCATCTTAAAATTTCACTCTCATCATTTTTTCATAACGCGCCTAAAGAAGTATAACTTCAAAAATCTGAACCAATCCCATGATGGATGTGTTGATCGCCTTTCTTTTCGCCCCGCTCACTTGATCGCAGTTTGCATTGAAACCATTTTTCGTCGACTATTATTTGTTGCAATAATGTTTGAAGTGTATACAACTTGGGGATGACATTCTGTTACTAACCAGAAATCAGAAATCAATATATCTTTATTCAAATTGGATGTATAGTACAACTCTTTTGAATCGTCCAAAAACTTTTTCCCTACCACTCGTTATGGACGTATTTTTAGCTGCGGAGAAAAACGACTGAAAAAAACTCTACAGCATTAAAAGTCTAAATAATTTTTAATAAGTGCTTTTTTATACTATCTTTAAATTTATTTATGGTTAACTCTTGGATATTGCTTGGGACTTTATTGTATAAGCGAACACAAAGACCTTTAAATGAATCATTAATTTTGTGAACGCTAGTAGCAGGTAAAGTTAGTTTATTTTTCATGACCTTTTTCATGACAGAAAATCTGATAATACAAGCCAGAGGTAAAATCCTCAATCTAAATAAATTTTAAGGGAGGTACTTTGGGGCAAGGCTAATTGATGTGAATTAAAAAAAAACAAAAAAATCGGCCATGTATGCTTCTTTGCCATCCTTTTAACACAAAAAAAGTAACATGCAAGTACCTGTATCAAATCTAGAATACCCAGCTCACTCTCCGATGAGTCGACACAGAAAACGAAGTACAGCGTTGCATAATGCCTATAGATGAGTTTGTAGTCTGAACCACCGATCAAACTGAAACAATACATTTAAAACATCTATTTTAATCCAATTAAATATAATTTATCTTGCGGTTTAATTTGTTTTACGTTTGTGTTGTTCTGAATGCGTTTTTCTTTGCAGATAAAAGTGCTTATAGCAGTGGGCAGGTAACCTCTACTAGTACATATCAGAAATTCAGATTTTCAACTTACATTCCCTTATGTAATGTCTTACCTCTTGATATTTACGAAACTGTTTTAAAAAGAAAAGACTGAAAACACCCGGAATAGGGTCTGAAGATTTGAGTACTTTTTTGGCACTTAAGCAACTCAGTTTTTTTGGATTTTTATTGTTCACAACTTTGTAGCGACTTAAATTTTGTTGTTATTTGAACCAATGGCCCTTATGCCCTGCTATTTGCTTGACAAATAATGTATGGTGGGCTGAGTGATTATCACTTACACGACATCTAATTCGTAAAGTAAAGGCACTGTGTAACTTTTTGATAGGAGGACATTTAGAAAATATTATTTTAGGAACATGTTTTTATTTTAACGGCGTTACTTCTCATTTACTTTACAACAAAAAAAATTGCTGCTTATTTCTGTAAAGTTAGTAAAGTGGCGTTTAAGCGATTTTGCCTTTCCACTGTAGATAATATTCTCATCTCTCTTTAAGCACCTGGCAGAGCTTGGCTAGACAGAAGACAAATAATATTTAGTCCGGTACTTAATTCCATTAACTGTGGTTGAAATTCGGAGTAGTTTTGATGTGGGGGGGAGGGGAAGGTCTCCCCGGCTCCCCCCCACTAAAGATTTTAGGCGGAAATGCATGTTTTTTTTAAATTAACCTAACCTATAAAATAATAAAATTAATTTATTTAGGATGCAAGGACTAGGGAAGCAAGAACCAGTACTTCTGCCTTATATCTAGCGCTGCGGGAACAGCAGCCCCTCTGCCTTTGCGTGACAAAGTCACAAGCAAACCACCTCCGGTGGTGACCAGCCTCAAGCACTACAGGCCGCACGATGCTTGCGGCTTTGTCACAGCATGCGGGGTGTGCTCTCCCTCCACTCCTCCGGGGTCTAAGAAACACTCTAGGGGTAGGACAGACCAAGACCACGGCGTGTCGGGGTTACCCAAGTCGGTTCTGAATTAAAGATTGTTGTAAAGCCACATTTACCTTTTTTTCTGAGTGTTGAGCTCATACTATTTTTTATTTATCAAGTAAATAATAGCAAAATTGCTGACAAAATTGACTCATAACCTACAAAAATATTAATTTTCATTCATTTTTGTCTCCAGTTCTATTCGTTTTCGCCTAAAAAGATTTCTTTAAAGTGTTTCTAATAATTAATACTTTGCATGACAAAAATTTCAGCTCGTAACTCAACCACAGCTAATGGAAAGCTGAGCCTTTAGTCCATAAGACAAATGTTCGCCTTTTACTGTAAGTTAAATGAGATTAATATATTCAGGTCATAACATTTTCATAAAAAAAGTTACCTTCCACCTTCCAAGAAATTGCAAACATTGTCGTCGCGTTTTGACACTAGTTGAAATGTCTCTTTTATTATCTGCTGTTGCATATCTTCATTCTGTAATAAAGATATAATAAGTGTTATTCATGCAATCTACCAATAATCGTTTATTTATAACTAACTCTTTATAATATTTGAAACACTGGCTTGCATTGAGTATGCATGAAATTCGAATATACGAAATTGGACTACGATTACTAGAATAATTTATTGTGATTTACAATAAAAGTACTGAGGATAAGTATAAAGATAGAAGAGCTCTCCTAGTATTACTTACAAAATACTGGTAGAACTTCGACAGTCTTGGCTTTCCATGATTGTTAAAAACTAAAATGGCTTTTATCATTGTTAAAAAGAACTTTTAATTACGAATTAATACTAATTATAAGCAATTTGTAACTGAAAAGAGTGGAAACAGATTGCGACAAAAATATCAATCGATTTTTTGACATTGACATTGACGTTGACAAATCAATCAAGTTGCTAGTCTAGAAGCAGTCCGAATCGGGTCAGCTTCCTTAATTAAATTATTTCGGTATAAGATTTTTTGTTGTAGCAACACAAAAAAGAACTTTGCGTCGACGGCCGTCCGCCGCGTCGTACCGTGTTGTTTTGTCATTTGTTCACTCTACAATTTGTAGTTTGTCACTGTGATCAACTAACTAGATTCATCGCAGACATTGGCAGAATCGACACGCAATGAGACGCAGCCATAATCACCAAAAATGGAATTGAATATATTCATAAATTTAAAGATTTATAAACTAGGCCCCTGGGCTGAAAGGGTGTTTTTTTAGTAATTTTTTTTACAGTGATGGTTTCTAATCAAGCATAAGAGTTTTTAAGTGTCGGAGAAATACAGTTTTTCAACTGATTACGTATTATATGAATACTCTAAACGTATTTTCAATTTTATCTAATAATCTGCGATCTAGATAATTATTCTATTACCTATATAATTATATAGATAAAATCATATAGATCGCAGATTATTCTATTTAGAAAATTTTAAAATGATGAAATGCTTTCCAGAGAATGTACCTACTTATCTGTATTTTGGTGATTGAGACCACATTCAAAATCTGACATGACGACCAATATTATATAAATAAATAGAGATTCTAGAGGACTTAGCGTAAGGTATTTATTAAAGATGAAACGGTAATAGTTTTGTGGCACGAGCTGAATTTTTCTATTACATATTTCTAATTAGTAGCCCGCCTTCACTATAGTTTTGTTTCAATATTATAGCCTATGATAGACACAAATAACGCAACTTTCTATTGGTAAAAGAAATTTCAAAATCGGTTAAGAAGATCCAGAGATTACCCCTACCAACCTCACATACTTTACCTCTTTACTACATTGGTATAGAGGACCATCGGGTTATAGCAGAAGATATCAACTTGGAAATTATTGACTTTAATTATAACAAACGCCTAAAGAATGTAACTGACTCTACATCAAGAGATGGCTTCATTAGAAGAAAGTTGCAATCTCTAGCCGAATTGCTAAATATGGCCTATATGGCCTACCAATATGTTTAAACTTTTTTTCGATTTAAATTTTAATATATTTATATATACATACTAGCTGACCCAGCGAACTTCGTACCGCCATAAAAATAGGGGCTGTGGCAGAAGGGTGAAAAAGGGTTGTATGTGTATTTAATGCCTGATTATAAAATAAATAAATATATTTTTTTTGTTCAAAACCAAAAAAAAAATGTTAGTGGTGAACAGCCCTTATCACTTAGGGGTATGAAAAATAGATAGTAACCGATTCTCAGAACTACTAAATATGTATGGTAACTAACATTTTGACACGAGCATTTTATATATAAGATTAAATCGAAACAAGTTTCTTTCGATTTCCTGTATTTTATAGAATTTTTGCTTTTCTATTTATACAGTTTTCAAGCTTCAGTTGTAAATGAATATAATTGAAAGAAACAGTATCATAACTGTTAATTCTACAACGGAACTTTCGTATTTTTTGATTTATTAAATAATCTAAATATCATGAATTTATGAAAAGTATCAGACTGATCGGATTTAGACAATGACAAGAATACACTGGTGTCAATTCTGACATGATTCTCTAAACCTAAACTTAAATTTGACAGCAGTGTATCCTTGTTATTCTCTATACAGAATAAAAAGGAGAGACTGATGTTAAATTTAGATTTAAGTTTAGAGAATCACGCCAAAATCGACACCACTGTTGTCGAAACACACCGTTCAAATTTATTTGGAGACTGGTCAGTCTCCATCAGACATAATCTTTTGACAAAAAACTAGAACTTGTTTGGCCCCTTTTTTTTAATGAATATTATTATTTAAAATGACATAGTTGATTGATTTATTAGTAATTAGTAATTGGCAAGTTTATTTATGTAATTTTTGTTGCCAAATCATCAAATATATTTTATTCAATAGGTTACTAAAGCAGTCAAAATAATTCCGTTCATCTCTCATTATGTTATTTTATTAAGTATTTTGTGAGTATAGAATTTCAAGAAAAATCAATCAAATATGGGTATAATCATTTTACTACGATTTCACGAATATCGGGCTTGACTGAAGTGATTGACATGTTACAATGATTGAGTTGAGAATGTTAATAAACTGCTACCGACTAAAAATATGACGTTACATAGACAGAGTGGCCAGCATTCTTACTAAAATGTTCAATTTTCAAACAAGATTTAAAATGAATTGGAGATAACAAAAAAAATTTGTTCATGTTATTACATAAAACTGCCGTAATATTTCATTACTGCCGAAAACCAACTAGAACCACTTTAGGACCCTCTCTCTTAATTTTAGGTTTAGAGAATCATGCACACCATTATAGGATATTATCTATCGTATAATACTTAGTTTATACATAACATAGTCTCTCACAATATATTAAAGTAATTAAATAATAGTAACTGCTTTATTCAGAAAAAAAACATAATCTTAAACATGTGCTACATGGTGGTAAACCATGGGTAAACCCCATTGAAAACCACATGACTTATTACTTTGAACTTTTTTTGCGTTGCAAGCATTGCGGCTACACGGTTGTAAACATGGCCACAACTTGACTGCGTTCTGAACTCACGTACGGAACGGGCGCATTATACACATGACAATACAGCCTCTTAAATTTCAAAATTCCGAAAAGTTGGCCATAGCGAATGTTTCTGATATTCCACGATCGCAGTCCAACATATTCATCGTGCTAACATTGTGCGCTATTCGTCTTTCTTTAGATACCTTTTAAATACCCGTTGAAAGGAAGATTTTAACTTAAACATGCGCGCTCGCCGTCTGCAGCGACGATGCGATTGCGCTTGAGTGGTTGGCAACAGGCGTCTACACGACTTGTTATAGCGGTTGTTAATTGTAAACGGCGTGTACACCGGCGCGGTTTACAACGTCCGACCGTAAACAGAGAACGTTGCAAGGTCAATCAGAACTTAGTGTGCAACAGAAGTTATATGGTTATAAACTTGCAAGGTCACATTTGTTCAAAACGGGGCTTACCACCATGTGGCACGCGTTTTACATTCACGGGCATGGGGCAACAAGCAGGGACATGACGGCACATCAATAACTCTAAGCAAGTCCATTGCCTTGAACTTGCTGTCGTCATTCCTGTTACTTTAGGTGTTAAAATTCTGTGGATATAAAATAATATAATACATATTGATAACAATATGAAAAAAAAAACAAATCCATTTGCATGGTCCGAATCGGAACGTAATAAACAAAAATATTTTTTAACACAGCAACACTGATAAAAGTATGTAAGTACGCGTTGCGCCGACCGAGCGCCGTGTCGCGAATGTCACGAAAAGAAAATCGTAGAAAAACTAAATGACTATTGTGTGAACTAAACAATAATAGTTGTTTCTGGTGTTTTTTATCGTGTGGACTATTGAATGGGGAGCTGGTGCCGTGCCCCTGTTGCTGAGGAAGCTGTAAAGAGGTCAGTTGTAAGAATGGTGGATTGCACTCGCCGTAATATTTGTCTTTATTTGGAAGCCGGGAGTCAGTTCTAGGAGTGTCGTATGTCTCAATAAACGTGGTGTATTCAATTGCTTAAACAAGAAGAATTACGTCTGTAGTTTTAGTTTAAGTTACTGTAGCTTATTTGATGTGAACTGCGACTCAATTTCATTTAACAATTTTATAATATAATTTAAAAAGTGCTCGAATTTGTATATGCTGCCACTAAGACAAGGATTATGATTAAAACTGAATAAGCGCTGGTCTTTACCCTTTCTAAAATAGGCTTTACTTTTTATAGTTGAATGAAAAAAGTATATTCTATATTTACAATTAAGAACTTAATTCGAGATGTGTTCTCCTATCAATAGTTTACGAATAACGTCATAAGTTTGTTAATAACAAAGTTGGGAAGCATGAAGGGTACTTCCATAAATTCTTTTGTAAACATTCCCATGTGTTGGAATGCCCTGAAAGGTGTTGTCATAGCAAAAGTTAAACACAATTTATTTTTAGGAATATTTTCTGTCTTGGCACTTGGTTGATATGGAACCAAAACTTTGCTATCAAAATGAAAGGTCTACCAAAATAATGAATTGGATCCGTAACTAAAAGACTACATTCTTACAGTGTTTCTTAGATTTATTATTATTTTTTCGAACCTCTCATGAATTTTTCTGGGGTAAAAAAGTATACATCTATTTTTCAGACAAGGCTATCTGTGTGTAGAATTCCATCCAAATCTCTTTCTCAGCCATTTTCATGTGATTGAGCAAGAAACACACATACTTAACAATATTTTACATATATAATAGATGCAGTAGGATATAATATACAAAAAATCATTAAAATCACGGTTACAAAATATAACAATGTGATATAACTTTTATTGTTATTCGAGACATGGTACTTGTCAATAGAGTTAGCAACTTGTTGTCTATCAAATATAGTATTTTTGAAGCTGTAATATCTAAAAATATAATAGATGACAAAAAAAATATATTAGGTATGTGGTTTAATTTTTTTTTTATACTCTTTATTGCATCATATAGTTTAAAACATATAATCAAATACATAGTAAGCAAAGGTGGGCTTATCTCTAAAAGAGATCTCTTCCAGCCAACCTTTACTTTATTTTTAAATTAATATTTTTGTTTATCTGCACCTTACAAATTAAATTTTTAGTTTTAAGATAGCTTTTACTGATAAATGTTCTCTTTACGCAATATACATGTAGTAGTTTCGCATACTATTTTTTTTTTTCAGAAATATAGTATTTGATCCCCTAATATAGTAGGATACTATATTACATAGGAAGAAAGGAATGTTAAGCTGTTGGTCCCAGTTGCATCTGCAGTCGTTAGCACCCACCAATCCGCACTGGGCCCGCGTGGTGGGTCATGGCCCAATCTCCCTATTCCATCCATAGGGAAGGCC